TATATATATATATATATATATATGTATGTAATATTCTTGCAGACTTCCCTATAAAAGGAAAGGGAAACCAACCATGACTTCTCAAAAAACTATTATCTTAAAGAACCAGAGTTCTGGGGTACCTGGCAATACAGATTTAGACTTTGCAGGCCATTTAAGCCAGAAATAGGGGTGTTTAAAACCAGTGGGCTGCTTCCCATTCTGCAGTCAGTTTGGAGTGATCCTAGGGTCCTGCATATGGGACTGTGGGCCCCTAATTAACTGAAATTCCCACTGTCCCTGATGTTGGGGAGAGGGGGCTGATGTCAGCAGTTCTCCTGCACCAAGCCTCACAAGGAGGTTGTTAACCAGCAGTGAACGGCTTCTTTAGATTTCAGTTCCTTGTTATTCCTCCTGCTCAGAAACAGTGAAAGACCTTTAGATGAGGAGTGTGCGGAGGAGCAAGACATGGGAGGAGGGAGGTCATGTTTTTTCATGACAGGAGAATGTGCCTTAGACAATTGAATGTTGTCTGCACTTCAGTTTAGATTCTTGGATAGTTCAGAGTTTCTTCTTCTTTGATCTAGAAGAATAAGGCTTAAGATTATCCAAACCTGAAATGATGGCCCCAGGAAGTCCTTGTCTTAGGACATGGCTTCAGTAAATATCTCTTCCCTTTAAACTTGCTTTGCTGTTTGTGAGGCAAGGATGAAGCTTCCAGTCAAAACAGATGCCCTCTTTCTCAATGAGGAAGTAAAATAAAACTTCAGGACAAAGCTCTTAGCAGCACATGAAATCGGATGTCCTGTTGTATTGTTTAATGGTCTAACCCACACCAGGACGCCTGGGTCAATGTGTACAATACCTTACTTTACACTGGTCTTCAGCATTATTCCTCATAAAACCAAACACCCCACACAGATCCAGGAAGAAGCTCTTTCTGCATCTACATGAATGGCCTTTGGAATAATTGAGCAGAAAAAGCATAGTAATGTGAAATATTTATAAATTACTGAGGCAGTTCCAGCCAACATCTTGGAACTTTTTGTTTTCCCTGGTCCCAGATGTTTCTCCAGGTTCCGGAGATGGAGAGGCTACTAGTAGTGTCAGAAAAGAGGGCAGCTAACCAGACAACACCTAAGATACGAGGTTTATACTTTCACCACTTAGAGAAAGCCCACGTCCCAAGAGAAAAGCACCTCTGGCCAGAGCTCTCTGGAGTAATAATCCCCAGAAATGGTACCAGAGGGAGCAGCTGAAGTGCCTGAGAGTCTGGCTTCTTGAGCCATGGTCTAGTAGACGGTGTTCGAGGACTTCCTGTTCCTAAAATCATCCTTGGGAGATGTCCAGTGAGGCTTGAGGTCCTAGGCTGAAGCATCAGATCAGCTCCATTCCCAATGGAAACTTGCAGAAGACGGGCCTTAGTATTCCAGACAGGCATTCGCCGTCTCTCCCTTGTGGCCTTAGTGACCCCAGCTCAGCACTGCACTGAGGGCCCCTGCCGCCTTTCTCACACTCACTCAAGGCAGACGCAGCCACGCGGCTCTTCGAGGCCACGTCCACGATGTGCATGAAGTCAGCAGGGTGCCACAACCGCAGAATGAAATGAGGGAAGTGGGACCGAGACACAAGCTTCCTGTCCTCATTACAGAAGTGGCTTCAGCTTGAGCATCAGGGTCACAGAGCTGATTATTTATGTGGGGCAGAGCTGCCCAATGACACAGAAACTCATCTTGTAGTCATTGCTGGCGAGAGAGCATTTTATCCTGAGTCCGTGGGTTTAAACGGTGCTAGTGTTTGGCTTACGGTCGGTGACAGGAGACAATGACCAGAAATGTCCAGCTGCTGACCAGGATGAGCAGGAATGTGTGGAGCAGAGTCTGGGCAGGAGTTCTGCTCAGGGTCAAGTAAGTAGCAGCTAGCTGGGAGCTCCATCTCTCTCCACAGATGAGAAAAGAAGAAAGGGCTGAATCAGTGGCAAAGAGCTGCAGCTGCTTGCTCCACTCAGCCCTCTGTTCCCCGTGCAGGACAGGGTGTTCTCCGACTGGGTTTCACCTGGTATATGATCGCTTCCAGCTAAAGATCTCATCCAGGCTGGAAGAGGGAGAGACCTCCCGCTTCTGCAGGGTTCCCCAGCGACGCCGGCCCCCGAGGAATGAGCCTCGGTGCTTGCTCAGCCCTTTTATCCTCTCCTCTGTTCGGAAGAAGTCAGTCAAGGCCCGGAAGTACTCCAAGATAACCTCGTGGCTCCACGCTGGCAGAGACTCCTGGCGCAGGAACCCACAGTGGCCGCCCTGGCGACTGAGCAGGAGGAAGAAGTAGGGGTTGCTGTGAAAGAGTTCAGTGGGCAGAAAGTGGTCTGGGGGTCCGCACACGGGGTCATCGGCGCTACAGATACACAGCACAGGTACGGCTGCCTCGTCCACATCCCGGAGGGGGTCGTTGTGGTCCCAGTAGGCGTCCCAGCTGATGGGGAAACTCTTGGTGTGGCAGAAGAGGGTCTCCTCAAACTCTCGCAGGGAGCGGCTCCTGAACAGTTTGTGGGTGTCCACTGTGTCCTCCAGGGCCGTGGTGTACCTGGTAGCAAGAAGGCGAACAGAGAAGGTAGGAAAGAGAGGGAAGAATTAGAAATCATGTCAACAAATTGGCAGCTCACAAGCCAGATTCTGACCACAGAGGCTTTCTTTGGCCATATAATGGTTTTTTTTGTTGTTTTTTTTTAAATATATATTTTATTGATTTTTTACAGAGAGGAAGGGAGAGGAATAGAGTTAGAAACATCGATCAGCTGCCTCCTGCACATCTCCTACTGGGGATGTGCCCGCAACCCAGGTACATGCCCTTGACTGGAATCGAACCTGGGACCTTTCAGTCTGCAGGCCGGCGCTCTATCCACTGAGCCAAACCAGTCAGGGCCCATATAATGTTTTTAAAAACATCCATTTCATTGTCATCATTTAAAATGCAGCTCTCAGTCCGGCTGACGTGGCTCAGTGGTTGAGCATCAACCTATGAACCAGGAGGTCACAGTTCAATTCCCAGTGAGGGCACATGCCCAGGTTGTGGGCTGGATCCCCAGTGTGGGGCATGCAGGAGGCAGTCGATCAATGATTGTCATCATTGGTGTTTCTGTCTCTCTCTTCTTCTCCCTTCCTCTCTGAAATCAATAAAAAATATTTTTAAAAAATAAATAAAATGCAGCTATCAGGCTCCTTTAGACAAATGAGAAGATCTGGCGAGATGGGCTGGCGGTCCTGAGGGCAACAATCAGGGTATTTCCTCCCTCCTTCCTGTGTCATGGTTCCTTCCAGGTCTGTCCCTCATGGCATTACCTGCCCAGCACGGGGAAGCATTGACTTTAAGGCTGCTGAGCTACAGCGACCGACAGCTCTCCTCCTGATCAAAACTTCTGTCCCTCTGTGGGGAACTTGTTGAACCCCTCTTAGAATAGCTCACTGGCTCGGACTATCTAAACCAGCAGGTGGCACCCCCACAATTAACATTTTACTTTAGGGTGTATTCGTTTGTTTGTGTTTTAAAAGCGAATATGCCATCCAGATCGTGACAAATGAGGGTGTGGAGGAGGTTTTCCTAGAGAGGGCTGCATGGCAGAGGACCTGACTGATTTACAGGGTGAGTTCCCCAATGGGAACCTGAGAGCAACTGTTCTGGGGAAGAGGGGCATCTTTGCTGTTGCCACCTCCCTGGAGAAGGCCTGGGGCCCCGGATTCGGAGGCCAGGATGGGCAGCTGAGACCTTTGGAGGGATCAATCCAGCAGTCGTCCGTTGATTTTGGATATGTGTCTCCTGAATCATTCAAAGAGATTTGCCCTGAGTCTTTAATCCCAAACTTCCATGAACAGGGTAGTTACTAAAGGCTCCATTTCCTCTCCACTTCCCTCACCTTATCCTTCAGCTGGTGCCCGGGGGGATTTGGGGATGGAAGCTGGCACCTAAGCCACACGAGAGCACCTTGCTCCTAGATACTCTGGAAGCTCTGGGTTGTCATGGCAGCCTGCTGTTATTGCGCTCAGGATTTCATTTCAGAACAGGAGGCAAAACGGGGCAAGAAAAGAGAAACCATAGTTGCCACCATTTATTGAGCACCTACCCAGTGCCAAGCTCACTGCCATGGCCTCGTTTCATGCATATACGGACCTGGGGAGGTAGTTATTATCAACTCCCTTTCACTGAAGAGAGAAGCGAGGCTCCAAAGAGTTCGCTAACTTGCTGGAAATTCAGGATTTGAACCCGTGACTTGCGCCCACATCCCAGGTCGTTCTGCCACAGCACAGTTATCCACATGTCTTTGACCTCCTCCTGCCTCTCCTAGGAAGGCCACAGTGCAAGCCGAGGCCTGGGTATGTGCTGTGGGAATGTCGCCTTCTCAGGGGGAAAGTCTCACCTGTATGCCTGGTGGTAGGGTAGAATGTTCTCTTTATGGAGATTTTTTTAAAAATTGTGTTTAAATATTCTTTAAATTGTTGCCTTAAATATTGAGCACATAGGAATATGCAAAACATTTGTTGGGTCTAAGGATTTTTAATAAATACCTCCACATTGTTTTATTCCTGTCCCCTCTAGGCTCAAAGGCTGTAGGGAACATTCTGGACAGACAGCCAGCTGCATCGCTGCCAGAGCCTTTGCTGATTTGACAAGCTGCGGACTAAGCGGACTAAGCGGTCGTCAGGCACTGCCTGTCGGGGATGCGGCAAGTGCTCAGGTTGCTAGGACACGATGAGGCCAGGGGCCCGGGCGGGAGGCCCTGCCTGGTATAATGATGCTGACTGAGTCTTCTATGGATTTTAAACCGGCTCCCCTGGTTCTCTCTCGACTGGAGGGTTCGGACAGCTTCAGACAGTGTGTGAGGGCACTTTGCCCAAGTCACCGTTGACCTGTCGGAGTCAACACCAGGCAGAGCTGTGTCTCGCTCAGCCCAAGACCCTGTTACCCCTCACAGGTCTGAGGCCCCGTTACCCACCTGCTGAGGGCGATTTTCTGGTGGAGCAGGAAGCCCCGCTCGTAGGGCCAGGGCAGGCCGGCCTCGAACCACTCGCGGCAGCGCAGCACCGGCGAGATGCAGGCGGCCCCCGTCATGTAGCTGGAGGAGCCACACTCGCCCAGGTAGGACAGCAGCAGCGCCGACCCGGAGCCCTCGCTCACCGCGAACAGCGGGGCCGCGGGGTGTCGGAAGCGGATGTAAGTGACCGCCTCCTTGAGGTCGGAAGGGTCCCCGAAGGGCTGCAGCCGGGGGCTGACCAG